GCGCTGGATCGTGAAGAAACCTTTGGATGTGCAGTCGGGATGCTTGCGTCTAGTATACGCAATCCGAAGATTTGCGCCATCATGGCTGGAACAGAAAAGCAAAACCGCAGGGTTCCGCGCTCTTGATCTGGGGATTTCGACTTCGGACCGACAACGAACCAGCGAAACCTGAAGCGCGCCACACATCATTCGCAAAGTATCGTGATCCTGAGGGATGCGCACGCATGTTTTGCTTGAATCGAGGAAGACGCTGCGAGTCAAATCTCATGCCATCGCTAAATTGCCCCACTGATACCGACTCGGATAGTGACGATTCTCACGAAGAAAGGGGACATTGGACGCGATAGCGACGGAGTTTCACGCAATCGCATGGGTCTGTTTCGAGCATGCATCAGGTATACCTTGTAGGGCTGAGGTATCAGCCGGGATACGTTTTGCAGCCATGTCATGGAACGTCGACAAATTCGAGAACTTTTCCCGTGGCAATGCTGTTGAGTAACACTGGTGCACAAAATTTCTCACACCAATCAATGACCGCAAGAGACATGATGCTTCGGGCGCGGCTGAAAGATTTCGGGGGTATAGCTCCTAGATCATTTCGATTTTTCCGGATGCTCGACATGATTGAGTGCTTCGCTTCTTAGCTCAGAGACGGCGAAATTGGGACCGTACCAGGAAGTTGCTGATGCTCAACAAAACGGCTGGGTACAGACCTTGGGTATGCTAGAGAATACGTGCCACACCTTGCCGCGACACAGTGGTTTGGAACGTTAGCCGAAGAAATGGCCGTTTCCAGGCCGTCAAGTTCCTGCACTCCGCAGTCTCTCCCGTCAGTGACACTCAGACCAGCGTCCAAATGACATGTGAACAAAAGCGGCACGTTCGTATGCAGCTCTGATGATGAGTAGTAAGACGAATGTCGTGAAACACATGGAAAGGCTGTATTCCTGCCTCGCGTATCGCGAATACCGCATCGGTCTCCACAAGTCGATCGTCAACGTTGTGAGAGTCAGTGAACATGATCTTCGAAAAGCAAATGGGCCCCCATGTGACTTTTCTGAGCCGCGAAGAGTGCAGCGGTAGCGGTCGAAGCTCGGCGGCGGTTGAGCGGACGCGAGGTGGAGCAAACGGCATGCACGCGTTAGTGGCGTACGTACGCCAAGCTGTTTACCTGTGCGCAAAATCGCTCGTCTGTGGCGTTGCGGAACGAACCACCATCTTTGGTCAACCTTCCGGGCTATCGAAGGCTTCAACACACGCGGAAGCAAACACGGTATGGCAGGGTATGCAATTGAATGGCAATGATCAGAGAATTCTCACATGAGTTTCGTATGTTCTGTGCTAACCAGGCAGATAGATAAGGTTGCTGGTAGCCAGGGTGCATACGAAGGACGTGTCTCCTTTCCTGGACCTCATGAGCGACCTGCATATTAGGCGAAGTCCACTTAGCGTCGACAAACCACTGTTCCTGAAATGTATAACCTCCGTCGTCGGTAGCGTCTGCCCTGCGAAGCGTCAGCAAGGGCCCACTTCGCCTGGTCTGGGGCAACACCTCCATTCGCCCTGGGTTTCAGCCGACCCATTGGTTGTATTCAATAATCATGGAATCTAGTGCAAGTCCTTCCGTGCATGTGCCAGGGATCATCTCTACGGCGAGACATACACCTCTGGTACGGAAGATGCATGACCCTCGAAGAGCAGCACTAGAGGCGGTCCAGCCCCACTGTATACCTCAATCTGCACTTGCCGTCCCCCATGCCCAATGGTTAAATGTACCTGCAGTTATTCCCTTCCCTTATGGTCTCATATAGAACAGGCCCCGGAGACTAAGCGACCGGGTCTGGCACTCTTGACAGCTCTTGATGTTCTCCGACCTCCCACGAAGTTTATAGTAAGGGTCTGAACCGGTCCATCGCAGTCTTTTCCATTCCGCCTCACACTTCCTGGCCGTTCGATCGTACACGAAGGTCGTGTGCGAGTACGAAGAAGGATGAGGCCCCTTCATTTGCTCTTCCCATTGCTGGCATGGGTACAGCTGGTAGTCGCTCAGGAATCGGCTCTACTGGCAGTGATTGAGCAACTTCCTCAATGCGCGGTATGTTCAAACGGAGTAATATCCCCAGCATTTATTGACTGTTTTCCAGCAAGTGTGTCTTGCCACTGCAGTTGCTCAATCGCCAGTACAGCATACAGACCAGGCCTCCGTATGTGCAGATGCCAAACTGCAAGGCGAGGTAGAGGCATGTGTCATGAAGTCATGCACACTGAGACAGAGTTTGAGTGAGCGCTCCAGGCTATGTCAGCATGCTTACTGTTGCTGATTGCGATTCTTAGCAACCAAAAACGTTACCACAACAAGTTGTCACGCTCCGATGCGTTACTCCGGCGATTCAATTCGTGTATCCAACTTGATTCTTTCGATCGTCACCGCCGTTTGTGCGCTCTCCAGGATCATATACAAAGCTGTTTTCTCGGTCGGTGAACTCGGCTACGACGACTACAGTGTTTTGGCCGCACTAATAGCTGGTGTTCCATCTGTGGTCATCATCGATAGAGCTATTGTTCCAAACGGTCTAGGACGAGATGTATGGACCGTCAGCTTCCAACAAATCACCGACTTCGTCAGATATCTTTACGCTCTGGAAGTCCTCTATTTCATTCAGGTCGCGCTTCTGAAGCTTACGCTCTTATTCTTCTTCCTGCGAATATTTCCGAAACCCAGCATCAGGCGACTACTATGGGCAACCATTGCCTTCAACTGCCTCAACGGTCTTGCCTTCACGTTAGTGGCTATCTTCCAATGTCGACCGATCTCCTTTTACTGGACCAAATGGGATGGAGAAGGATCCGGCCAATGTATCGACATCAATGGGTTAGCATGGACAAATGCCATCATCAGCATTGTCTTGGACATCTGGATGCTCGCTTTGCCCTTGTATGAGGTGTTTCACCTGCAGCTCTCCTGGCGCAAGAAGCTTAGCGTCGCTGTTATGTTCTGCGTCGGTACATTGTAAGTTCTGCTTCCAACGGTCTACAGACGATAATTACTGACTCAAACCTCAGTGTTACCATCATTTCAATCCTTCGTCTCTCCTCTCTCGTCAACTTCGCGGCCTCATCCAATCCAACATGGGATCAAGCGGATGTTATCAATTGGTCTAACATCGAGATCAATGTCGGCATTATCTGTGCCTGCCTGCCTGCGCTACGCGTCATACTCGTACACTTGTTCCCCAAGATTCTCGGCACAACCAAAGCCACCGAACGACCTTACTATGCATACGGTAGCCAAAGTCATGGCATGAAGAAGGGCGGCAGTGCGCTAGCCAGTGGTCCGGGACGATCGGCCGTCTCGAACGGCGCGCGAGACCCAAACGCTATCACATACACCAAGACTTTCGAAATACGGCATGCAGATCATGATGAGCAATCACTTGTGCAAATGGAGATGGACCAGTTTGGGCCACATAAGCCGAAAAATATGAGTAGCAGCACTAGCATTTCGAGTTTCTAGATACCACTTATCAAAGATACCCCAATCCCTTTCTTAACGCTCGTCAGTGGCTCTTCTTACACACACACACACACACACACACACACACACACAATGTGATGTATGGCACATGTCGACATTGTTTTTTACCACCACGTAAGTAGATGCAGTCTCAGTGTTGTAACGACCGCTATGTGTTTCAGATACCGTACTTCTTCAGATCCTCTGCAGAGTCGGAGTAATGGACCGTAAACTCTTCGCCCTCCTTCACATCTCGAACGGTCTTGAACACCATCTGCTCCAGCTGCTGATCCCAATGCCTCCTGACGTTTGAGTTGCTCTCGTGATTGAACATGGATCCAGTCAAAAGAACCATTCCAATTGGACCAAATGAAGCCTCACCTTTGAATGAATTAGAGTTTACGCAACCCATGAGTGCATCTAGGAGCCGGTTGTGGGCGTTGTCTCCTCTCTCCTTCGTGAATCGCATTTCGTTAGGTCGCGCGTTATGCAAGAGCAAGATAGCTTCCAGGGCCTCCTTGGGTAAGAGGAGGAAGATCAGCGGCACGAAATCGGGATGTGGCATAATCAGGACGGGTGACTCCTGCAGAACGATCTCGCCAGCTTTGATGTCGCGGGTTGCAACGACACCGCGGCCCTTGCCTTCGATGGAGACTATCTTGTAAGGCGCTCCAGTCGGTGATCGCATGAAAGCGCTAGGGTTCTCGCCGCCGGCTGCGTACTCCTCCCACGCGCGACTGATGCTCCGGTAGGTGGCTTGTTTCATTTCTTGTGATGGAATTAACATCTCATCAAGTTTGCCACGCAGCTTGGACGGCATGGGGCGTTTTCGATGCGTCTGTAACATCTCATTTGGTGCGGGGGCGTCTGTGAAGCATTGGTCCAATATGTCTCTCTTAGGACCCGTAAGGCGGTATGGCTCCAGGGCTTCTGAGTCGCCCATATTGATCGTGAGAAGATTGAGTGGATTAGAGGATAGGTTCTCACAGAGGCGTTGGCCCACGACTATGTACCGGGTACGCAGTGTTTATTGGGAAAGACGATGTTTGGCATCCATGGATCGCTGCGCGTCCATCCCTGTGGCTCGGCCCAAGTGGGGTTAGTTCCTTGGCGCAGGATCTATTACAAAGGAGTCGCATCCATGGATCCTTTTGTTCATCAAAGTGGTTGCAATACCCTCTAACGACGCTTCCGTTAGCAGTAGACAGTGAATCTTTGTTTCCCTAACTGTGGTTACATGTTTGCAATCCGCAACCACAATCGTCAAAGACACGTCCCTCGCGGTGTCTACAGACAGGAAGAAGAATTCTCAATGGGGAAAAAGATTTAGGATGTTTGGGATGACTTCATGCTCAACGATCGGTGCAGGTTTCATGACCATCCGACGGGGCGCCGTTAGAGAGAGGTCTGGCCATACCAAAGCAACGGATGATTGCGATTCTAAAGTTACGCAGCGATCGTTTTAGCTTGGAACCCTTTCTTCCGCTCAACTACTCCCATCAACCGCCTTCACCAGGTCTCCAAACATAGCGCTAAAGGTGTGATAATAGTCATCCGCACTATCGGTCAAGAATATCCAATCCGCCGTGTTCTCAACCTGCTGCACCATGAACTCTAGCACCTCTCCTGTCAGATTCGGCAAGGAATGCAATATGACGGCCAGCTTCGAACGGCGAATCTTGTGTGCCTGTAAAGGAACCATGACGTCTCTGTCAAGCCACTTATCGAAAGTCTCTTCGAATACGACAGTGAGATCGGTGAGGTTAAGGTAGGATTCTTGGAGCACTGTGGGCGAGGTGAGGATGGTAGTGGGTATCAGACCGGGGTTGTGAGCCACAAAGCGGTCGTTGAATACGGTATTGTTCTTGATCGCTTGGTTCGCCGTCTTCAAGTATGCGTACGCGTCTTCATCGAAAGTACTTGGTGTCTCGTCTAAGAAGATTCCGTCAACGCGCATCTTCGTTATGTTCGTTACTTTGGGCCAGCGCGCGTAGGTGTCAATTTCTGCTAATAAGCTTTCGATAGGCTTGTCTGCGTAGTCTGTCGCGACGTATCCCAATGTGCGGATGTTTGGGTAGGCTCGTAATTTGGGAACTTCGTCGAGGTACACTTGATCGGGGAGTGACCCCATACAAGGGCCGGAGCAGGGGTTGATGATGACATTGAAGTCTACGTTTCTATGCGCTTCCGCGCTGGCTCTTGGTCAGTATTATACACTCTAGCAAAGAACGGTTTACGTACGCGGCGTATAGCGGATCCCAGGCGCCTGCACTTGGGTACACGTAAAGAGGAAGAAGTATGGACATGTTTGCGAGGCGTATCCAACAAGGACTTTGGAGAAGCAGGTAGCTAAAAGTAGAGAGATCCCAGGATATCAAGGCGGGCTTCTAGAACCCAGAGTGTCATACGTCAGGTCCGCGCTGGCCCGGTCGGCACAGATTGTACCTTACAGCGGGCATGATGGCGTCCGCAAGCAGACTGTACTTAATATGAAGGATGTTACGCGTCGTGGGCACTCTGCGCAGTTCAGGCACTATGTGCGGCCCAAAGGCACTCGCTTGTGGTAGATTGGCTGGAAGAAGTGGACTTCCATATTGTCGGCCAGGATTGCGAATAACCGGGGATATGAAATTGATAAGAGACGAAAAGCTACTCAAAGTATCCAGGAAATCGATCATGTCGTAACTGCTTTCGTATGATGTAATGATGAAATCTAGAGTTCAGCCGCATACAGCATTAGCGATCGTGTATGGGTGATTGGGGAGTGTTGAGTGGAGTAGAGGAACTCAAATGGCTGGATGTATTGCGACTTTCAAGGCTGGATTCTAGATACCGAACGTCTGGTTGTTGTTGTTCCTTTGTTCAAGGCTGCTGCTTCCACAACTCGTAGCAAGATTGTCTTGCTGAGTCCCTCAGTCCTGCGCCTGCCTCCAGGGAGGAAGAGGACGTGGAAGCCCTCAGGGCAGCATGATGTTCATAGGAAAGTATGTTTACTCTCAATGAGATACATCGCCAGCCCAATACGCTGACAAGGCGTGCGCCAGGTCATCGATACTGTCGAGCCCTCTTCCACCGACGCCGCTGCTTGGGCGGTGGTGGTTTCCGTCGGGAATGGTTTGTAATGCAGGAGTTACTGGGGTACTCGGGTTAGTCGCCTTCCTGTTGCGATGGTTGTAGAGGTAAGGTTGGGCGAATCGGAGTGGTGGGGTTTCCGCGCTGGCAGCAGCCTCGCCCGCCGTACTCGCCTATCTTCGGCTTGCTACCTTCGGTTGCTTCACGCCTTGCGCCCTTCCTCTGAACATGCCGCCGCAATGCCGCCACCGCGTTTATATCCCCTCACTCGCCTCTGCAGTACGTGGTCCCGTCCACAGACTGTGCGATTGACCTCACCTCCAGCCAGCAAAGACCCTGAAAGCGCCTAGTCGAGCCTTCACCGCACCCCTCGTCCACCCCGCGCTGCACCCCCTGCGCCAGCTGCACTCGTCACGGCCATACTCAGCCATGTCGGAGCTCTCCCAGTACACTGCTAAGAGCAGCAAAAGCACAACCAATGGCACAAGTCACAATGGCAATGCCTGGGGCGGCGAGCACAACCCAGCGGCCTTTGACTTCCGCTCCGATGTGCACACCACACCGACCATGTCGATGCTGAAAGCCATCCAGGAGTGCACCCTGCTCGACGACGTCACCATGGAAGACCCGACCACACTGTCGCTCGAGCGATTCGTTGCCGATCTCAGCGGGAAGGAGGAGGCTCTCCTGGTGCTCTCCGGCACCATGGGCAACCAGGTGGCATTCCGAGCACACCTTACCACCCCTCCACACGCCGTCATCGTCGATCGACGTGGCCATATCATCAACTACGAGGCGGGCGGTGTAGCGACACTGAGCCAGGCCATGGTGCAACCGCTGGATGCGAAGAACGGGACATACCTCACACTGGAAGATATCCAAAAGTACGCTGTCATCTCCGATGACGTCCATGCCTGCCCTACACGCCTCATATCGCTCGAAAACACGCTCAATGGCGCGATTATGCCTCTGTCCGAGGTCAAGCGCATATCAGCTTGGGCGCGCGAGCACGACATCATAATGCACTTGGACGGTGCGCGTCTGTGGGAAGCTGTAGCTGCAGGTGCCGGTTCTCTCAAAGACTACTGCGCCGAGTTCGATAGCATAAGCCTGTGCATAAGCAAGGGCCTCGGCGCGCCGATTGGTAGCATCCTCGTTGGTACGAAGGAGTTCATCAAGCGGAGCCGCTGGATCCGCAAGTCCATTGGTGGAGGTTTGCGGCAAGCCGGTGTTGTTGCGGCTCCCATGCGCGTTGCCATTGAGGAGACATTCCTCGGTGGCAAGCTCACCCAATCTCACGAGAACGCGAAGAAGATTGCGAGCATTTGGACAGATCTTGGAGGCAAGCTGCAATACCCCGTAGACACCAACATGGTTTGGCTAGATCTGGACGCGCATCATGTTGACATCAACAACTTTATCGAGCTAGCGGAGAAGTACGGCGTAAGGGTGCGCGGTGGTCGGTTTGTGGTGCATTACCAGATTGGCGAGGAAGCGATCGAAGCGCTGCGAAAGGTATTCACCGAAGTGTTGACTGGTAAGGAATCGGCAGGGAAGAAAGCCGAAGCCCCGCATGATCCCGAAGACCTTAAGATGAAGGGAAAGGGCGTGGAGTAGATGCAGCAGCCACAGCATGGAATTAGTCGGTAGACAAATAGACGAATCAAACCAGTGCGCTCAGCCACGCAGCCACATGAATCTTCAGTACCTGCATGTCTAGCGTGGTAGCGTCTGTCATGTTCCGAATTCGCCGGGACATCGGAATCCACCAGAGCTTCCAAGACCTCGCTATTACGTTAAACTTTCAACTTTAGGCCAAAGACTCTGTCCACCGCTACCCGACGTCAAAGCAAACTCGTCATCGAACCCTCAAACACGACATTGCCAAGATGGAGGCCGAAGAATACTACATGAGACAGCTCTGGACGGCGCGGCGGCTCTGGGTATTTGCATTTGACTCCTCGGACTTGCTCTGATTATGTACAAACCTGCACGCGTCGTCACCTCTGGGCAAAACTTTCTACGACAGACGTCACTTTTCGCAAAAAGAGCAGCTGGACCCTGTGTACATAGACCTACGGCCTGCAGACCTGGCAACTCACACAACTTTCTTGTCTCCACACCACGCCAATTCCACACGACAACAGTAAAAATGGTACCACCGATTGCACAAAACCGAACACTCCTGTCCAATCATCCGGACAAAGTCCGCATGCTTGTGCTTGAGACTGATGAGACACATCCCGACACGCAAAAAGAGACGGGATCCTTTGGGGTTGTTTTGGGCCAACTTCTCAAGAAAGCCGGAGACGCGCACAAGCCCAGTCTAGGTATCGAAACTGCCATGCAATATGTGGTCGAACCGGAAGGTGGCGCCATACCAAAGTTGGAGGAGATTGGCGACGATGTCCATGCTATTCTAATCACGGGTAGCTGCTGGGACGCGCACGGTAACGACCCCTGGATCCTCAAGCTCATGCAGTTCATCAAAGGTATGTGTCTCAGAATAATCTTGAGTTGAGGGGAAAAGCAGTAGCTAAATACATAACAGACGTGTGGCAACATCGCCCCGATATCCGCTTCACAGGAATTTGTTTCGGACATCAAATCCTTTGCAGGACTCTCGGCGCAACCGTCAAACCCCAGAAGGATGGTGAATGGGAACTTTCCCACCAACCCATCCAATTGTCTGAACTTGGCCGCAACCTCTTCAACCTGCCCGAAACCGAGTCCAAGATCCATCTTCATCAAATGCATCTCGATCACGTCGTCAATCCTCCGTCCACTGAGACGACTGATCTGATACCGAAGAACACCAAGGTACATGTCTGGGGTACCAGCGAGCATACAGGTGTGCAGGGCGTGTATATCCACAAGAGGCTGTTCACCACACAAGGTCACATGGAGTTTGATGAGGCTCTTGTGAAGAGGCAGTTAGAGATGAGGGTCGAGAGTGGGAGTGTCAGTAAAAAGGATGCGAACGAAGCCGCAGAGAGAGCAGATTGGATGCACGATGGCCTTCTCGTTGCCCAGGCAGTTTTGAGATTCTTCCACGGTGACGACGACATATACACGTAGGAACCATCATCGGGCTAGGTTCCAAGCGAGTCCTCCACGACTTTACGAAAAAGAGCATGTTATCGGCGTTAAGCGAACAGGAAGATTTAAGAAGCACGGGATTAGGAGCACGTGGTATGTACTGAATACTGTTATAGATGTTTGTCCAGTGTTAAGAGCGTACTTTGCGTCGTTGTAGTGACGTACGCCGCTTCGGCTTTGAAGCGTTGAGTAGGACCGTCCGCAACCTCTCAGAGGGCAGAACGCACCAATCAAATGAAGTAATCCACGACCACACAGGGCCTCGTTGCAAAAGCTTGTCTCAACCTCGACCGAAGTCGATCCTGTTAGAGCAGGCTAAACATCGGATGGGTGATGGCCTTCGGCATTAAAACGCCCGATGGCGCGCGGATAAGAGGTTCCGATATCTTATACCCGGATGCGACCCGGCCACCAACCCACCTGCCTCTTTCAAGGCGTCTGCAAGTGCGTCATCGCTCCACAGAGGCGTACCGTAGGGACAGAGATACAGCAGCAACGCCTTCATACCCCAGCTGTCTACATCGGGTGCCATTCGATACTCCCACCCTGCACAATGGTCGGTCAACATCGGCCGGCTGCTCCCCGGCGTGCATACAGCACTTCGTTCACACGCATCCAAACCCTGGAATTAAGAATGTTGCGGAGCGAGATTCAACGGGGCACGGCATGCTCTCCACGTCCCGGCGCTAGCGTCATGTTCGACAGGCGACCAGACGAATTAAGGGTGGGCACATCCCCATGACCTGGGTCGATAACTCTTCCAGCCTCGCCTTCCATAGACCTCGAAACAATTCCCACGCCACTCTACACTGGCAGCTTGTTGAGGCATCTGCTAGCGTTAACATACCACTCGAACTCACACCGCCCCTCATGCTAAAGTCATAACAGCATCGCCATGGCCACCCCCAAAGACACAGCAAGCGACGATAACCTGGATGTTGCTAGTGACAAAGAGAGAAGGAGCCAGGAGGTGGATATCGAAAAAGATGGACTGCAAGACGACCTGGAACGACAGGCCTCTGAGCCTCCCTACTCCGTCTTCAGTAAAGGCATGAAGACATGGATTATCTTCTTGGTGTCTATCTCAGCTCTGATATCCCCGTTTGGCGCGTCCATGTTCCTTCCGGCGCTTAATGTGCTCTCCGACGTCCTGGATATTACACCTACGCAGGTCAATATTTCAATTACAACGTACATGGTATGTCTAAGAATTTCTTCTTCATATTCAACGAGACAGGGAGCGCTTTTGTTACCCCGAAGGCCTCCCACAACCCAGCTACCGCTGACGCTGTACACTCAGTCGATGATCTTGACCATAACTGACTATTATAGATCGCACAAGCTATTGCTCCCGCTTTCCTTGGGACTCTATCGGACAACAGCGGGCGAAGGTTGACCTTCATCATATGCTTCATCATCTATAGCATCGGCAACATCGGCCTCGCACTCCAAACAAACTACATCGCCCTTCTCATCTTGCGCATGGTACAAGCCGTTGGTGGCACGGCTGCTATTGCGTTGACAATGGCGGTTGTCGCGGATATCTCCACGTCGGCTGAGCGAGGCACCTACATGGGTTACGCACAAGCCGGTGTATTGATGGGCCCTGCTTTCGGTCCGACGATAGGCGGTCTGCTGGCGCAGTACCTGGGCTGGCGATCCATCTTCTGGTTTCTTGCCATCTTCTCCGGCGTGCTGCTTGTGTTGTTCGTGTTCTTGTTCCCTGAGACTTGCCGGAAAGTCGTTGGCAATGGCTCTATCCCTCCTCAGGGTGTCAACCGCTCAGTCATTAGTTGCATACAAGCTCGCAAGCTTGCAAAGCTGTCACCCGACGAGGTAACCCCTAAGCCCGAGAAGAAAAAGGTCGCCTGGCCGAACCCGCTTGCGACGTTCCGAATCTTAGCCGAGAAGGAGTCTGGGATTCTTTTACTCTATAATGGCCTCTTCTTCACCGGCATGATGGTCACTGTCTCCGCGATCCCAGAGCTATTCTATGCCGCATATGGTCTCAACGAATTGCATGTCGGCCTTTGCTACATCTCTAATGGTGTAGCTTCCCTTATCGCCTCGCTCACCATGGGTCGAGTTGTCGACTGGAACTTCCGCCGCTATGCCAAAGCTGTTGGTATGACCATCTCCAAGGGCAAACAACAAGATCTCAGCAACTTCCCCATCGAGCGTGTTCGCCTGCAGATCTTAATTCCGTGTCACATCATTGGCATGTTTGGACTCATCATCTTTGGATGGACTCTCAAATTCAGAACACACATTGCGGGTCCTGAAGTCGCTCTGTTCATCATGGGCTTTGGTGTCACTGGTGCTTTCAACATCACCAATGGCTTGCTTATCGACCTGCATCGCGATAAGCCTGCAGCTGCAACTGCGGCAGTCAACTTCGCCAGATGTCTCATGAGTGCTGGCGGTACCGCGGCGATTATTCCCATGTGTCATGCTATGAACCCGGGGTGGGCGTTTACATTCATAGCGCTGATCATGGCGGTATTATTAATTGTTGTCTTTTGGGTCATGAAGAACGGAATGAAATGGAGACAAGAGTTGGCGGAGAAGAGGAGACTCAAAAGCGAGGAACAAGAGAAAAGGGTAACACAGGAGGAGAATACGACGTGAAATGGCTAATGTAATTTATCAATCTTCTCCTTGATATTCCTCTTATAATGCTATACTGCTGGATGATCACAAGAGTAGTGGACTCATAATTCTGGTTATTCGTCCACCACTCTTGTGATCATCCAGCAATATAGCATTTTAGCTACATCGCCGTACTTTTTCCTTCCAGAATCTCGCATGTATTCGTCCCACGCTACCAGAAAGTCTTGCTTGTTCGCCTTCTCCAACATATAGTCTGCTTTCCCTCGCACAAATGGATCTACTTCAGGTACTATGTTACGCAGTGGATAGGTGTCATTACTGGTTAGAAGCATACCATCCCAGCGATGGCTCAGTTCCACACAGTATAATTTCAACGCATGCACGTGCGCAACGTGTAGCGATCTGCGGTTTTGACGTGACACTGCCAACGAGGCGGGCATCACCTGCCAGAGAGCTGGGTTCATCGACTCGAGACAGTGGTTCCGTTCTTCAGTCATCTCAGTGTCTGGGTTATTGCCGGATACCAAGCGTCGATCTCGCCACGCAAGGCCAGGCCACAAGGGATGAATGACAAAAGGGCAGCCGAGCTTCTTTGCTATCGGAATACCGAGGACTACTCGTCCTGGGCCTGGGATCGGACTAGGCACGAAGTCGTCGTCTCAAGTGTTATTGATGAAGATTGCAAAATCCATATACCTGCAAGTATCAGAGTATTTCGTCAAACAGTTGGCAATTTCCGGCTCGTGATGGAACAGCGTGAAGCCAATACGGGCGTTGTCCTCACGCGCACATAATTCTAACAGTCTTTGTCGAATAACGTGACGAAATTGATCACTTGAAGATCTGTTTAACCGGAACGCAGCTGGCAGCGCGACTCATCCTCACCAAAATCATTCATTTCAGCAGCCATCTCATCATCTCAAACCGTCCTCAAGACCTTCACCCCCGTCATCTCAGCAATATCATATATCGCGTCAACTACCCGATCAACGTCCATGCTCTTGAGCGGTATCCTATGTGCACCTTCCCATTCCACCAATGTCACCGTACAGTCTTCACAATATTCGTGTAGTAGTTTCCGATGAAGGTATAGTCCTGGATCCGCCATGCCGTGGACATGCAGTGTGGGTTTATGCAGTGTAGCCTCCTCGTCCACATCTCTGCAGAATTGAAACCCTTCCGATATGTCGCCCGCACTCACAAGAGCCTCACTCTTCATAAGCTCAGGGTTCAGATTGCTCAGAGGCGCCCGACCAGCCAGTAGTATTCCGAACCTCCACCTTATGCCTGAGATCCCTGTGATACCGGTAGCGATCTTCGTGCCTTCTTTGCGCGCCTGTGTTTCCCTCGCTTGTTGTTCGAGAAGTAGGCTTGCGGACAGCTTCGCCCCTTGACTGAAGCCCATCAGGCCTACCCACTCGCCTGTGCCGCCTTCCCGATCGTCGTCCTCCATTGCTGTGCGCATCGCGTATCCGATCTCTTCAATACATGTGTCCGCATCGATCTCAGGGTGTTCGGGAAGCCATCGCAGCCAACGTCGGAAAGGCGCGTAGTCGCTGTAGACGCCGATGATGTCTGAATGCGGATCGCAGAAAAAAGGGCCGTCGGCCCATACGAGGCGGAAGGAGTGTTGAAGGTGGCGGATGAGAGATCGCGATTGTGCTTTGAATATAGCGGCGTTGACGCCGCCGCCATGCAGACAGAGGATTCGGGGGAGAGACCTCGTGTCGGGCTTCGTTGGCGGTATTTTGGAAACTGGCTGTGAGTATGTTGAGGGCATGTTCGCTGTTATCTGTTCTTTTTTACTTGACGTGTTCGCGATCAATCGATAATCGGCCGAGCCGGAGCCTTGAAGTAGTAATCGTTAGAGATTAGTACCGTGAACTGATCAAAATCTAACGTGGGGGCGAGCAGGTCATGCTTCAACAAGGCTGACACCCAGATAAAGCAGTTTTGGCGGCATGCGACTGACTTGCCGTGCTTAGGGGTCGGAGTCCGAAGCGTGGTTGAAGACGTCCCACCGCTGCCCCTGCATACAGTCATGCTACTAGAGGTGAGACACATATGGTGTGCAGTGCTCTCCAGAGCCTGTGAATGTCCAGACTAGAGTTTCTCCCCAAGACTTGATGATCTATGATGAAAAAAGTAGGTTGCGGTGAGGTGGAATGGGCAGCGACGGGCGGGGAACCGTATCGGAACAACAACGCGCTAGACGCTCATCATAGAATTTGCGATCGATCTTGCTCCATGTCAACGCATCGATTACACATTTCTGGTGCCTACGCTCACCTATCGAACTTATCGCTTTTCTCGTGTAGAGTATCCTTCGGATGAGCGTTGCCAAGGCATAATGGTAATGTTCTCCATCTGACTTGACCAGCAGAGTGTGACTGCAGTGAGGTGCCAAAACGCGCTACCAGTGTTTGGAAAACGTCTTGAAACAACGTTTTGCTTTTTCGGACAGAATAGAACCCAACTCATAAAAGTAGTAAGGTTATGTTGGACCTATCAACGACACAAGGTAAGGTCAAACAAGCCAAGAGTTGTCTAGAGTTGTGGGCAGAATGAAAGAAGTTTAAGATTCGAGAAGACTACCGAACAGTCCACTTTTCAATCCAACGCTCTACTTGCACCGACGATGATAACCACGACATCGATCAAGATGTGCACAGAGATTGGTACCCGCTTGGCATATCTGCTTGCGTGACTGCCATCATCATTATTGCCTCCCAGATGCGCCTTTCGCGTGTCTGGCTGCAAGATCCCTAGTATTCCGTAGGTTTGATCCCCTGTTCAGATTCCCCTGGTGCTCCTAATATGTACATTCCCTTCGTTTCGTCGAGTTCGCGTGTTCAGATCCTTACTTAGATGAGATGATTGCAACTCTCTAAGCTGCCGTCTTGGGGGCACCTGCGGCGTGCTGGGAGAGGAAATCGGGATCATTCTCGAACTCTTCCTTGACCTGCAAGTTGTTAGCGTCTGTACACACGCCAAGTTGCTCATGATGATGGACTTACGATATCAAGACCGCCTACTAGCTCACCATCCGCCCACAGTTGTGGGAAAGTTGGCCAGTCGGCGAACTCCTTCAGTCCTTGGCGAACCTCGTCGTCGGCCAAGATGTTGAAGAAGCCGTACCTTATGCCCTTCTCACGCAGGATCGCCACTGTCTGCCGACTGAAGCCACACTGCGGCGAACTTGGTGTGCCCTTCATGAACAGCATAACTGGCGCTGCCTTGACCAATTCGCCTAGCCTCCTGTGTAGTTCATCCTTGTTTGTCTGTTGTTCGCCTTCTCGGTGCTCGCCCGCGCTGTAGTCGGGTGCCGTCCTGGGGTCCTGGGAGCCAGGCGCGTACCCAGCGAGGTTCTTGCCTGTGCTATCCCCGTTCTCCTGTGGTCGTGTGACGGTTTGCGCGGGTGGTAGACTCGAGGATTGGCCGCTGCCCGCGCCGGCGTATTTCTCGACTGCGGCTCGTACTTTGAATGCATCTGAGCCTGACACTGTCTCCAGGGTCTTGCCGTCTTTCTGTAGAACAATGTATGGGACCGCTGTGACATCGTATTGTTCAGAGACCTCGGGCAGCTCTTCGGCGTTGAGCGAGAGGAACTTTATCGGCGCATCGGCGGGGTATGTGCTGGCCAGCGTCTTCAGGATGACGCCCATCTGCTCGCATGGCTTGGCCCATGGCGCATGGAAGTAGATGATAGCGAGGGTGGATGGTGGAAGCGCGGACACGGTCGACTGGAAAGCCGACTCATCGGGCATCTCCTGCATGGTAGCCATGATGCTAATCGTATGTCGAGGGAGGGGCGGTCGATCGAGTGTAGCGGACGTGTAGTTGGCTCGCTGATCTATAAGCGTGGTGTCGTCGTGATTGTGGGGTGTATGCGGCAAGAGTGCTGGTAAGAAGTCTGGAATGATGGTATGATCTGATTAATATTTAGTTGCCGCCCGAAGCAAAGCGCCTATGAAATCACGTCAGAGGCCGAATTGCGGAATCACCCCGCCATGGCCTGCTTCTCCGTTATCAGATCGGCGAAACGTGTCTCCGGCGCCGTTGATCCCGGGAACTTTTTTGTTAGCCAAGATTTCGGCATCAGCAACCAACCTAGATAACAACGACAAGATGCTGAAGACGGTGTATGTAAAGACGACTGTCGCTTCTGCGTGTATGAGCGACTCTAACATGAGATTCTAGCAAACCCAAGAATGCCCGCGCCAAGCGCGCAATGGCAAAGCGCGAGCCGCAACAAAACGAGAACCCCAAGACGACGCTCTTCGTCTCTGGCCAGAAGACGTCTCAGATCCTCAAGCTCGCCGTCGCCGACCTTTGCACAATCAAGCGACCCTTCATCGAGCGCTTCACCAAGAAGAACGACATCCACCCTTTCGACGATGCAACTTCGCTCGAGTTCTTCTCCCAGAAGAACGACACCTCGCTCCTCGTCCTCTCGCTACACTCAAAGAAGCGGCCACACTGCTTGACACTGGCAAGAACATTCTCATACAAGATGCTGGACATGCTGGAGCTGTACATCAACGCAGAGACTTTCCGGACGCTGCAGCAATTCAAAAACAAGAAGCCTTCCATCGGCCTCAAGCCACTAATCAGCTTCCACGGCACCGTCTTCGAAGACCCCAACCAAACCAAATACACACTAGCCAAGAGCCTGTTCATCGACCTGTTCAAGGGCCAAGACGCAACCGAAGTCGACGTCGAAGGCCTCCAATACCTCATCTCCGTCTCCGCCGAAGAACCCACCGACGCGCTCCCCAACCCGCAGATAAAACTCCGCTTCTACCTCCTCCGCACCAAGCGCTCGGGCCAAAAGCTACCGCGCATCGAAGTCGAGGAGATGGGCCCGCGCATGGACTTTACCCTCGGCCGCGAAATGTTCCCTGACCCGGATATGATGAAGCAGGCGCTGAAGAAGCCCAAGGGCGCTGAGCCGCGCACCAAGAAGAACTTTGACACTGATATGATGGGTGACAAGGTGGCCAAGGTGCATCTTGGCAAGCAAGACTTTGGCAACCTGCAGACGAGGAAGATGAAGGGTCTCAAGCGAGGAAGGAACGAGGATGACGAGGAGGTTGGTGTCGAGGACACGGCGAGTGAAGGCGAGGAGGAGGAGAAGACACCCAAGAAGGCCAGAGTATGAAATGTATCAAGACATGAGATGTAACTGCATGGGCGGCGTTAAGGGTGCCTCTGGCGTTCAACTGTTGGGCGAGACTATACCAATCTGCACGTTTGTAGCAAGTCATAGGCGTCTCAAAAGTCAAATCGATTCGAGTGATGTTCAGACTTTATGATATAATAATGCCCTGTCTACTGTCTAATCATCGTCCGGTTCATCAGCCAGTAACCACTTCGCCCGACATTTCACAGCCGCACTTCTGACATCTCTCTTCCCATCATCCAGAGCAGCAATAAGTCTCCTAACCACCTCTCTCCGGTAGCCTAGTATTCTTTCTTCCTTGAACTTCTCTGCAGCCAGGTGCAGACATTTCAAAGCTGCTACCCTCACTGCTGGCGGTGGTGGTGTAGCCTTGTTTTCCTTCGTAACGGTAGCGTTGTTCAGGAGACGAGAGATGAGTGCACCAGCATGCTCCTCGAGCACTTCCGGCTTCTCCGTGAGAGTTGAAGTGAGAGTGCCGATTGCAGCCTCCTTGACAACGTCCACGCCCTTGAGGTCCAAAGATTGGAGAAGCAGGGTAACGAGCTGTCCAACTTCCTCGACTACTATCTCAAATGGCATCCATCTCAGTGCTCCGCTCAGTGCGATGAGATAATTGGGCTTCGTCTGGGCATCCGCTTCTCGGAACGATTTTGTGATGTTCGGTACCAGTAACGCAAAGCTCTTATGCTTATGTAGACCGAGGATCTGGCAGTGGTTTTCCTTGGTGAGAAGGTCGTCGGGTTGCAGAAGTGTTGTGAAACCTTGCGCGACGATACTGCCATACTTCGGATGTGATAGCAAGGACAAGAGCGTCGGATACAATGTGTTCAGCGCAGGGCTGCTCCGCAATACAATGCCCTTGAGGCACGCGAAGATGATGCGTATCCGTGGCGGATCAAGCTTCTCCGGGTTGAGAAGATCAAAGTCCGCGACGAGAGGGTCCATGCATGTCTTAAGTGCAGCGCTGGTATAGTACTTGTTGATGATGAGAGACATCTGCCGAAGGGATGCTGATCGGACTGGTAGGGATAATGAGGATTGCTGGGCGTAGTTTGCTAGGGAAGAGATCAACAGTTGTAATTCGCAAGGCAGCGTCGCGTCCCTGCGGAGGGAAGCGAGGAGGTGTGTAGAGACGATCATCGTCTTGTTCGCTTCCACACTGGCGTTCAGACTAAAAGGTGGAAGTTCAGTTTGTGGCTTGCCGCGGAATAAGGTGTACAGCTCCGCAGCAACGTTATTCTGCTGTTCGGTAGGCAGGTACCTGATGATCAAGTTGCATATGCGGCCGACAAGGTCGAGTGTGGTCTCATCGTCAAAAGCCGCTGGGTGTGTTTCATCAGAACTCGATGCGCGTTCGATGAGTGGCAACGCAATGTCCTTGTAGTAATTAGAGCTGTCTGAGCCTTGCGACAGCTTTGTCTCGCCCTTCTTGAGGGCGTACAACATCGCGGAAAGTAGCGCGACAATGTATGTTGAAGAGGCACCCTGTTGGACTGCGGCGCTGAACTTGTTCTTGAGTCGCAGTATGACCGTGTCAAATACCTGCTCCTCGCTGGCCAGCTTGGCGAAAGCTTCGAGAACAGTCGAGTAGCTTTTCGACCCGTCCGCGTCGGTGTCTGGTAGTTGCGCAAGGAAAGCCGGAAATGCTTTCTCGACTACGACCTGTGGCTTCTGGTGGGCAATCTCAACGATACCGTTGATGGCTGCTTCCTTAACCTCGTCCTTTCCATGTGATTCCTCGTGGATGACGATGGAATGCAGAAGCTGAATGATTCTGCCGATATCGTCGTCGCTGAGTAGTCCTCGCGCTTTCGATAGCTGGATAAGTCCATCAAGACAGACTAGTCTGAATGACACTTCTTTGGCTGGGGCTGTCTCGAGACCGTTCAACATGACTTCTAGCGCTTGGTCTCGGAATTGAGCGAGCGCGTTATTGCTGACTTCTTCCCCACCAGGGCCCATCTTTCTCCAGTCACCATAGACGTCGATGTTGGCTTTTACTAGCTGTACGAGAACTTCCAGTAAGCCTCGGCGCTTTGCCATGGTGTCAGCTGTCTGGAATAGTAGGAAAAGATTCGGTAGCACACCCTCCAGTACGAGGCTAGTGACTTCGGGAGACACATTGGCGATGCTTTCGAGAAACCTTGCGGAAGCTTGGGATTGCTTCGTGGGCGCATCTTCGAGGTGTTCGTTGCACTCCTTGATAACAGGTTTGAGATACGCATTGAGTGATCCTGGGGTACCCTTCGATAGTGTCCGTGCAATTGCTGCCAGACCTGCAAGCGCTTCCTTCGCCAGGTCTTCCTCTTGTACATTCAAGACTTCAAACTTCAGTGCGTCCCATAGCGTAACCGCGTATAAAGATACTGTTCTCGGTCCGTACTCAGTCACGGAGGCTGTAATCGTTGATAGAACGTCTCGCTTGGTGTTCATCGATGTGGAATCGAGCTTGTCCAGAAGCGCAGGGAACGCATATGGCGCAAAGTCGGCCGTGGACGAAATGCAATCTCGCAAGCGATCCTTCAGGTCCTGAGCCGTGATGCCATACGGATCATCAGGTGGCGGCCTGAAGGTAATTGGGAAGTAGTTGAAGACTGCGTCAAACAGGTCCTGTGCATCTCCGCCAATGTTCCACTCCGTCATCGGAACCCTGAGTATCGAGAAGACGACCATCAAGTTCCGAGGATCCTTCTCCCCGTCAAAATATGATATGAAGCGTCCCAAGAAGTCTGGTGTCGCATCGTGGTGGGCTCGGAGGGCGTCGCGGTATTTTGCCATAAGCGTATCGATCAGACGCAGGACGGGGTAACGTTCGCTCTGCTGCTTGTATTGCCGTAGCGGATGTGTGTTATTGAGGAGTGCCTCCACGATGCTGACTACCCGCTGGTCGTCCCACTTCCCTAGCTCTTCCAGCGCCAGGAGTGCCTTTGCGCATGACCCGAGGCCTTCGTTGTCTTCGGTTCGGGAAAGGGTGAAGTCGCAGAGCAGATTCCCTAAGCTTCCCGTTAGCCCGGTTTATCTCATGACACGATGCTCTCGCCCTGGGAATGTAATCCATAGCTAATGCTCCGCCCCAGTGCCAACGATCGTTTTGGTCTGCGATATGCGATGGATGCGTACGGGGAACAATGTAGTATGGGCTGAGCGGTCGCGGGATAACGTACGTTGTTGGAGGGAAAGAACCTTCTGTGGGACGGCTGCGAGTACCTCCGCAAGGTACGACATTGCTACGATGAATTAGCCCAGCTCCTCCTAGATTCCAGAACGATACGTACTCTTCGACCGTGTGGCTCCATCTTCACTGTTCAAGTATTCCCCAAGGTCAGTGACCAGACTGATAAGCTTCAATTCGCCATTCTTCAGTCCTGTCCACAGTCAGCCCTCATCCCGCCAGATGCCCCGCCGGAACCTCGTACATACGCGTCGCGCTCCGCTGAGCAGTCGCCGTGGCTTCTTTTTTGTTTCTATCAAAGTCCAGCAGGTACTGCTGAGCATCTGACATATTGATCGTCGCGGGTGCGGTATATTGCAATGTGTTGCCGTATGCCTCGAAGCACGCGATTCAGAAAGTTGCACAGTCGCGGCAATGACGTTACGGAGTTGCGGTGCTGCTGATTGGCCGGTATCGGAATGGTGGGGCGGGTCGCGCAAAAAAAGTTAATGGGAAGTGTCGGCAGTGAGGAAAGTGTGATTAATTGATCCGATGGGAGAGGCTTGACTGGTCCCTGTGGCCCCGTGCTGTGAAATAAATCGTCTTCTCTGGACCGACTCATATCTTGGATCTACTATTCCAATCGTCGACTATTCCGCTGCTCATCATCCCCAGAACAGCAAAGTTACCCCGCCATGGCCGACGATAAACCTAACTGCAAAGTCATCCTTGCGAACAACATCGCCAAGGGTCTTTTGGACGAAGTGCGCGATGGTCTAAGTAAGATTCCGCGCAAGCCGCTACTCGTTGGCTTCCTCTCCAGCGCAGATCCTGCCGCCAGGGTATACGCAGAATGGACAGGCAAAACTTGTGTTGAAAAGTGAGCGCGTCCACTAGTCGATACTCAGTTCTTCTTTGGCTGAGGCTTTGGCTGGAAGTCGGGTGAAAGCCGCCTACTAACCTCATTGTAGTGGCTTCGCATTTGACCTGCGCGAAGTCGACCGCGAGCTCCTTGAGGACCGCCTCATCGAAGCGAACAACGACGCTGCCGTGGACGGCATCATTGTCTACTACCCCATCTTCGGTAACCGCCAGGACCAATATCTCCAGCAGATTGTCTCCATCGACAAGGACGTGGAAGGACTGTCGCATCGTTACATTTTCAACATGTACCAAAACATTCGCTTCCTTGACCCTGCCAACACCAAGAAGAGCATCTTGCCTTGCACACCCCTGGCCGTGATCAAGATCCTAGAGTACCTGAGAATCTACAACACCATCCTGCCATACGGTAACAGACTGCACGGACGCACCATTACCGTCATCAACAGAAGCGAAGTGGTAGGCAGACCGCTTGCAGCACTACTTGCCAACGACGGTGCCCATGTCTACAGCGTGGATATCAGCGATGTGCAGGAATTCACACGAGGCGTTGGTCTACGAAAGCGAAGACACGAGGTAGTGGAGAAGCCTGGCTGGACCCTCAACGACTGCCTCCCACTTAGCGATGTAGTCATCAGCGGTGTACCTGGAGACAAGTACAAGGTGCCACTCGAGTTGATGAGGGACGGAGCCGCATGCATCAACTTTTCCAGTGAGAGGAACTTCACGCCCGAGGTCAAGGAGAAAGCCTCCATCTACGTTCCTGCCATCGGCAAAGTCACTATTGCGGTGCTCTTGAGGAATCTGTTGGTACGTCATTATGCGTCTAGCTACGGGACTACACTGACAGTATTCCAGCGCCTCGCTCAAAACAAGATTGATGCTGCTGCTCAGGGTGTGGATGAAAAGTCCTCGGTTGAGCCAGTGATTCAGTCAACCGCATAGACCTGCGTTCATCATTCTGCATCGTGTCCTCATTTTGATACCCTATAGAAGGCACACGTGCCATAACTCGCTCGTCATCCAGCTTTTCGAAAGCTGAGCCTGTGTCTGGTCGACGTCACGCATCATGAAATTGACTTGACTGTCACCCAGAGCACACAATCTCGTAGAAGTAAAACCATCATATTAAAGTCGGGCAAGAGATTGCACAAGAATTTGTGACTGAATAGTACCAACCATTTGATCGTGATAGGTAGGATTAACCCATTAAGTCCGTATGACCCAGCCAGGAGAAACCCAAATGTAGAAAAGTAAAGGTATAAACAAGGTGCGAAATTCGTTACATGATTGAACGCCACGCTAAATGTGAAATCAAGACGCCTCCGGCGGCATGGGCACAGGCACGCTCTCCACCTTGATTTCTGGTTGCGGCGGCTCGTATACATCACTCTCTGCCTCCGGCGCCGCTCGCCTAGGTAAGGGTCTCTCCCTTTCTTCGTAGTACATATAGTCGTCAGGGCGACTATTGTATCTCTGTGGTGCGGGTCTCTCGTATTGGACTGGGACATATCCATATGAGTCATGTTCATATCGGTGAGGCTGATGTGGCATATACGGGGCCCGATACCTGGTGTCACCACGTACACGAATGACCTCGTAGTCATGCATGGGATGCCCGTACTCGTCAACATAGACTGGTTGTGGACCGCGTGGTTCATCGTAACGATATCGTGGCGGTGAGTACCCGTGTGCATGTGGATGCAGACGGTCTTGCACAGAGACGTACCCGCGGGGATGACGGCGGGCAGGTGGATAGAATCCTTCATCTTGTACAGACTGATCAAGGCTGTGCTCCCGAGAATACGCAGGCTCGTAGTCAGGCTCAGCATTGGGCTGCGGTGTTTCTTGTTGATCGATGCGACGCTTTTGTTCTTCATATCTCCGGCTTTGCGATCGGCTCATGCTGGAACCACGTCCATAGGGATCTTCCCGCGCAACACTCATGTATCGCTGATATCGAGACGGTCCCCGGTTATCGTTAGGCCGATCTCTTCGGCGTTGAGGTCCAGCCCTTCGTGGCGGACCGCTTGGTCCAGACATTGGCATCCGATACCCGTTAGGTTGATAGTCGTCATATCGGGAGTTGTTGGAAACAGTGGAAGGAGCTCGAGGATGTGGGGGCGCAAGTGGGCGAACAGGTGCTGTTGCATCTGCTGGTGCAGGAGCTTCTGGAGGCGGAGGCGTGTAACGAGGCCCATCCCCGTTTTCCTGCGTTGGTGCAGCCGCGTCTACTTCGGACTGTGGCTGTGGTTGTGGGGGTTCGTTCTCTGCCAGGAACCGATCTGCTGCAGATTGCCCCTGAGGTGGACTGGCATCCCTTGACTGACGCTCGTTCATGAACCGGTATTCGGGCCGATGATCATCTTCTTCATAGTATCGAGCCTGGCGGGGATAGGCACTGTATTCCCGATTGCCGTGGCTTCCTTCCCGCGGATGTGCGTAGACCACGTCCTCGGGTGGTCCATAGAATCGCTCTTGCTCGCGGAACGCTGTTCGGCGGCCGGTGTAATCCTCATATGTAGGACCTGCATGGATGATCCTTGGGCTGGGGGCGTACTCCACATACTCCCGGGGGCGGTGATAGCCGTCATCAAGGTGATCCCTCGGCAGCTGGCAGACAAAGATGTTAGTTTCACTAATGTTTCTGCGGAGTTTTGTAGATCACGTACATAGTATCGCGGCTCAGCATAATGGTGCTGCCTACGCTCTGCGGGGGAGCTTTCTCGATATGAACGTTTCCTGTTCATGGAGCCCGACGCCTCATTCGATTCGCCGGCAAGGCTTGGTCGAACAGGCTCATAACCAGCCTCCAGCGGTTTAGGTGGTAGCGCCGAATTTGCTTCTGCTACTTTCATAACAGAGTTGGGGCGTGCTATTCCCTCACCAGCAACATCGGCTGCACCAGTCGTTTTGTCTGAATCCTTCGGTCCTGACGAGGCTGGAGAAGCTAATCCATGGCTATCAATCACGCCGATCTTAGGCAGTGGCATAGGAAACAAGCTGGGAAAGACGGTCGCTATCATTAGCAGCTTCTCGTCATCCATGCCTGGGGCGTGTATGAGACCAGAAATGAACCGTTCGCTTGGAAGCTCGATCATGTGTTCCTTCCAGTCCAGAGGGGCAATAGGCATTCCGTGGCCAGGCATTGGTTGCTGAAAAGGCAGATGCTGGCTCCTGAAGTGCGATAACAGGCCGAGGACAGTATAGGTTGTTCTTTCCTCCGACTTGGAGTAATAGGAACCTCCCAAGTTATGCGAAGCGCCCGTCTGACAAGCTTTGCATGAGAGACCTGGTGCATTCTTCAAAGCCTTTGGCATCTCATGATTAGACAGAGCATCAATGAAGTGGTTCAGGTTCGGTTCATGATTGAACTCTACATGAAACTTGGAGATGACGCGATGCAGCAGAACATAGATCCGGAGGCTATTCGGCATGTCTTTGATCCCCGAGGTGCGTTTCCAGATGTCTTGGGTCATGTCGATGACGGTACTTACTTGCTTGTCAAACGAGCTAGTACTCTGGCCAGTATCTTCTGTACCGCTAGGAGCGATCTCAGGAATTCCTTGGCTAGGTGGTGGCATGTTGGGTGGTGGTGGAGCTATGGCATTGTTGATCATCGCTGGAGAAGTCAGGTAAGGGTTTTGGGCCGCATGAGCACCATAACCTGGAGGACCCATTGCTTGATGTGCATACATATCCACTGGTGTCGCATATGGCTGGGGGTATTCGAAGCCAGAAGGAACCTGTGGTGGAGCGAATGGTCCATTGTACTGGCCTCCATAGTTGTAAGGACCAGGGCTCGCCTGTGGATGGTGAGTTGGCATGTGAGGTGTTGATGTCCCTGCGCGTGAGTATCCGCCAAAATAGCCACCGAACCCGTTCGTACTAGAAGAGGGATGATGACCATGTTGAGGTTGCTTCACAGAGAGAGGATCTGGGTGGAAGGGAGTCTCCTCCGGCCACTCGGCTTCTCTCCATGCAACAACCACGTTTCCTGAACTGAAGGCAGCAGTATGTTTGGCTCCGTAGTGCTGCGTGACGCCCTCGAAACCATAGTACTTGTTGTTGTATTCGCATCCGCCGCCATGGCACAGGAAGATGTCCTTCCGGAATGGTTCTGTCAAAGGCTTGATCTTGTTGTCGTACACCCATTTCATGTTATCCAGGACGAGCCTGGGCCTAGTAGTTATATTGTCAGTAGAAGGCTGCGTATGTTGCCCGGGATGATCAGAGTCCTGTTCGGGTTCCTCGGCATAGTATGTGCGGCGCACGTGAGCAAGGAGGTCGGCCGCAAACTTTGGGCTGTTGTCGTAAGTGACGGCGCTGCCATGGTCCCAGCTCTGATTAATGAAGTCGTCGGCGATGGCTTCGAGTCTGTCGCGGATGGGTCGTTGCGACTCTTCCCACTCTCGGTCCATGACTTCCCTGGCCTCCTTGGAATTGGCGTCCGTGTGGCGGCGGTCGGCAGCTTTTGTGGGAAACGAAGCAGCCCGAGCCACGTGGTCGGCTTCTGCTTGTTGGGCAGCAGGGAGCTGAGCGATCAAGCGGGGTTGGAGCACACTCCATGCATAGTCGTTCATTGGCTGTGAAATCTGGATAGCCGCTTTGAACGAGTCCATGTGGCGCAAGACGTTGGGAGCGATAGGAGGGTCCATTTGCTGACATCGGCGTTCTATGTCGGTTTTCCGGGTCGCCTTGGCCTCGTTTGCATCGTGTAGGTTTCTCTGGCCAGAAGGGGTGAAAGCCTGTGGTGGAACAGTAGGCGGTCGCGCTTGCGCATGCTGCGACGATGGTGCTACACCTGTTAGGGAGGGGACTGGAGAGGTGTTGTTGACATATCGAGAGGCATCGCCATGTGTGGCAGCAAATGAGACAGCAGAGGTATACTTACTCGCTGGAACCGGAGCATGAATTATGGGAGAGGGAGTTCGACGAGGGGGTGATTTGGACGGGTCCTTGTGTGACGTGGCGGCATGCGAGGGAGCTGCAGATGGAGCGCGCTTCGCACGCTCGTGCTCCTCCAGCCACAGGTTCTTGACCTCCCAGCGTTCCCAGTTCTCGGCGACTTTCATGCGTTCTTTTCCGCGAGCATCGAGTCCTTTGGACCACTCCTCAGCTGCTGCAGGGCCACGGCTGATGGCCTCGTTCATCTCCTGCGTGATTTCCTCGACATGCTTCTTGTAGTAGAACTTGGCAATGTCGATGTCGGCGGGTGTATTCGCAGATTGCAGGGTGTATGCCGGAATGTAGTGCTGGTCGCTGGTGAGGAGGGCGAACGGGAGGGCGGGCCGCAGGGCGGAGGCAGCCGAGAAGAGAAGGCTCGCGTCCTATACATGTCAGTCGCGACCCAGGAAGCGGAAGGTGCAACTCACGGTCTGGCATTGTTTGAGCAGGCACGGCCCGCAGGCTCTGATGGCGAAGGGCCAAATGACGCGGACACCTTCTTTGCCGGGGCCCTTTTGCCATATGCGCTCGCCTGGAGTCAGAGAATCAAGCTTGTTGCAGAACTGACATCTCCTGGACCAAGCCAGCTGCCACATGCGCAGCTCGCTGAAGCCAGGGAGCGGCTTCGGGGGCTTGGTACACATTGCGTTGCGGGCAGAGGCCCACAACGACTCGGACTTTAGGAGATGCAGACGGCCAGGATGCGACTTTGAAGTCGACAAACTGCGCACGTCTGTGAGATAGGATAGGAAAGATCGATTGACCTGGATCAATCGACCGAGATCTGCAAGCGAACAAAAAGAGAAAACATGCTGCCACAACTCGGGTGGTAGCTTCACGAGCGGCTTCGCGCTGCTGAGCTTGCGCTTCTTTTCACGCTCATGGGGCGCATCCTCTGCCTTGCGCTTTGCGGCAGGCGCGTCGCTCTGCGCAGGCGTCGCCTGGGGAGGATTCGCATCAGAGCCGTAGAAGTCGACCGACGACGCTGGGCTTGATTCGCGGTCCTCCATGGCGGCGCAGCCGTGCTGGGGCAGCGTTCACAACAGACTCATTGTCGGCATGCGCAGGCTAGAGACACAGAGACAGCGACATGCGATGGATGACGATGCGATGGAGCAGCGCGCGATGAGATGGAGCGCGGAAAAGGCGGTGCGCTGCGTGTGTTGGCGATGCTAGTGTTTGTCGTGGCAGAGTGGAGGTGTGAAGAGGGCTAGAGGGCTAGAAGGATGGAGCCTGGGGTCTAGGCGGCGGTTTGAAGGATGCAGAAAGCTGCTTTGGCATGCAGCGCAGACAGGCAGTGCGAGGAGCTATGTCGAATCGTCACGGTGAAGCGGACGAGGGTCTCCTTGAAGGTCGTTGGGCGCGCCGTCGGCACCGCTTGCCTGCCACCAGCGCCAGCGCCAGCCGCTCGAGGGCGCGGGCCAAGCATGACATAGCTGCCAGCTCTGCACACCGAACTTGTGGCCCGCCTGTGCTGACCTGCCCGACCCGACTAGGTTAATTCACGCCCAATTACACAGACACACATACGGGATACGCGTACGCTGCCTGTCCCACCACGCATCGTGCTAGCTGTCAATTCCGAGTGCTGCTTTTCCTCCACCTCCTCTTCTCCACCACTCCCCCAAGCTTCGTCTTCCACGACAGCTTCCCCTCCACGCCCGCCCACCATGGCCACGCTCAACACCTCCAGCAACGGCCCCAACATCACCCGCAGCTACCAGAATGTCGTCAATGCCCCGGCGCCCTCTGGTCCCCAGGCCAGCTCGCCCACATACGGCCAATGGGCTGTCTTCACAGTCGCTGCCCCGCTTGTCAGCGCATTCCAGCAGGACGGCGGAAAAGAGAGCGTGCTGAAAGTGCAGAGCACCGGAGGTACGTGGAACAGCGCGGCACACTTCCAATGGCCATCATTTCGCACTCGAGAGCTTGGGCTATGGCAAGGTGGCTGCCCAAGCTCGGGTCTCGGCACATCACGAAGCGCAGCACAGTGCTAACATCCTGCAGAGGGCGAGCTGCTCGACCTGATAGACGAGTTCTCAGACGGCCGCATCCAGTTTGCATTCGTCAAAGTCAAGGACCCCAACACATCGCTGCCCAAGAACGTCCTGATAGCATGGGTAAGCTCTCCGCCGCAGCTGCCAGGGATACAATGCTAATTCACACGCAGTGCGGCGCAGGTGTTCCAGAGCGGACCAAGGGCTACTTTGGCAGCCATCTCACGGTTGTCTCCAAGCTGCTACATGTGCGTGCTCCCACGGCCCCTCTACGCACAAGCTAATTTCCATAGGGATACCACGTCCAAGTCACTGCCCGTTCCGAGGACGACCTCAGCCCAGAGAAAATCGTCCAGAAAGTTGCAGACGCATCAGGCGCCAAGTACGGCGGCGGTGCCGATGTCCCTGCCCCGCGCGGCCCTCCTCCCGTTGCCGCGAAGAAGCCCGTCTTTACACCTACCTCGATAGGCGGCGGAGGCGCTGGCTTCAACCCTCTCGGCCGCTCGCGTGCACCTGCGCCAAAGGGCGATGAAGATGCGGATGGCTGGGGTGCTGACGCCCCGCAGGTCTCCAGATCCCAGCTGGAGAAGGTCGGAACTGCTTACACTCCCACCAAGGTCAACATGGCCGAACTCACCGCGAGAAAAGACGAATCCACCGGTTCCCAGCCCTCGGGCTCGCAGAACGACCGCCCTGAAGTCGTCAGGGGCGCATACCAGCCAGTTGGCAAAGTCGACATTGCAGCCATCCGAGCCCAAGCGCGCGATGCCAAAGACGACCGGCCCACTGTTGTCAAAGGCGCGTACGAGCCCGTCGGAAAGGTCGATATCGCGGCTATCCGCGCAAAAGCCCAAGCCGGTCCCCCATCCTCTGGCATGTCCCCAGCCCCAACGGGAGCGTCGAACAACGAAGAAGAGGAAGAGAAGCCCAAGTCTCTCGCAGAGAGATCAGCAGCTTTCAGCGCGCAGCCCGAGCGCCTTACCAGCTTGCCGAAGCCCAAGGTTGCCAACAAGTTCGCTGGTGCGAGCACATTCACCGGCACCAAAGCTCCTACTCCAGGAGGTTTTGGTGCAAAGCCCGCTCCTCCGGCACCAATCGTCGGCGCCGCGAGCAAGACGTTTGCTGACCAAGGAGGAAAGACTCCTGCTCAGATCTGGGCGGAGAAGAAGGCGGCCCGTGGAGAAGCCGTTCCTTCTTCTACTGCCGATGCTGGAAGCCGCCCAACTCCCCTCCAAAGCCAACAGAGTGGAGGTGGTGGCTGGCAAAGTGGCTACTCCGGCAAATCATGGGCTCCAGTGCAGACTACCCGAACAGGTCAGTCTGCGACTAGCAACCTCAGCGAACAACGCACGGGTGGGGCACCTCAACAAGAAGAGCCAGCCTCTCCTGCAGCTGGTGGCGTAAGCTCGCTCAAGGACCGCTTCACAGGTGCCGCCCCTATGGGAGCGCCAACTTCACGCCCTGTACCAGAGCCGCAAGCTTCCAGTCCACCGCCTCTCGATACCTCGAGCAAGCCCAATGCTGGCCCGAGGGGCGTTCCGATGCCAGGCCTGCCTACCCGACCCAAAGAGCCGGAATCAGACGAAGAGGATGTGCCTGCCACTCAACACCAGCGTATGCCATCTCCACCACCTCAACCACCTCGCAGCCCGTCTCCCGAGCCTTCCGGCTCTCCTGTTCGTATTGCCATGCCCGTTGCTCGTGGGCGCGAACCAGAGGAGATGTCTCCTGCCGAGGAACACGCACCGCCTATGCCCGCGCGATCACTTGATCAAGCAGCCAGGCAAAATCGTGACATGTCTCCGGAGCCACAAGTCGAGGCCAAGGACCCTGCTCGTGGAGCTGGCGCTGCCGTTGCTGCTGCCACTTTTGGTGCTGCCGCAGTAGGCGGTGCTGCCGTCGGCGCAGCGGTCGCTTCTCATGACGATGACGATGCCGGTGCCGGTGGCTCCGGCAAGCGCGCAGTCATCCAATATGACTACGAAAAGGCGGAGGACAACGAAGTCGAGCTCCGTGAAGGCGAGTATGTCACAGACATCGACATGGTAGACGACGACTGGTGGATGGGCACAAACTCTCAGGGCGAGCGTGGTCTCTTCCCGGCCAACTATGTTGAGCTGGTCGAGGGCGACGATGCCGCCGCTGCACCAGCACTGCCCGCACACCCCTCGGCGCCGCAAGAGCCCGAACCTGCTGCGGCACCATCACAGTCTGCTGGCCCTACAGCCACCGCTCTGTACGATTACGAAGCAGCTGAGGACAACGAACTGAGCTTCCCCGAAGGGGCCACAGTAACTGAACTTGTAAGACTACCTGCACCACTGCTAAAACCGATGCTAATACTCTTGCAGCAATTCCCCGACGAAGACTGGTGGCTCGGTAGCTACAATGGCCAATCGGGTCTCTTCCCCGCCAACTATGTTGAGTTGAACGAGTAGGCTTGCTTGTTGCCATGCATTTAACCTGAGCGATTTGGAGTCAGCTCGCGTCGGCGATTTTGTTGTTGCATTGTCACGCACCCGACTGGCTCAGTAGTCGCAGGACGAAATCCTGGTACAAAAGTTGCGGCATACAGCCCTACCACTCCAGTCGCATTTCCAAACGAATTACATTGATAGGACCTACACCGATAAAGATTCACTGGGTCAACCAGCATCTTCTTGTACATATCAAAATTTCAAAAGCGATTACCATGGCTCCAGTATTGGTCATACGCTAAACGAGATCATCAAGAGTGAGCACTCGTTGATTCTGCGACCCAGCATCCAGTGTCGTCCTGCGCGGGTACATGGTACCAGTCAATGCATATGCTTAAGCCTACGAGTATCTTATTCTACGATGTTCCAACGGCCGTTTTGATATTCACTACACGTGGACCAAATTGGCTATTTCTAAAATCCACTTTCTATTTGGGTCTCCACTATAGATGCCATGGTTTGCCTATAACCGTCACAGGATTACGATGGGAGTGCCCATACGTCCCACGGACTGAGGTGACTGCGCACCCACGATATATGTCCGCAGCAGCCTTATGATCATCTGAACCATGGATACCAAAATGCGCGCATCTGGGCAAGGAAATTCCCACTCAAGTACAAAACTATGTAGTACGCTGCACCACTGCTGATTCACTTCACAACCTTTCTCTCCAAGATACCTAATTTTCACGACGAACACAAATTACCACAACCACTCACAGCATAACAGAGAGTGTATCTTACATTTCCATCTGGCGACCACAATGTTCCCCATGCCTATGATCAAGTTGGTCGCTCCGTTGGCGACCACAATGATCTCTTTGGCATGGCCCACTGCAGCCGGAATGGTTCTCCTCGCTGCTCTTATCGGCATGGTCTACAACGAACAGAAATTCAACGAAGCGATCTGTCGAGCCAAGATTCAGGAGCAAGTAATCAAGGCTGCTCGAGCCGAGCTGTCTGAAGTCAAAGACGAACTCCACGCCTCCCAAACCAAGCCTACTGACCTCTGCCTCGTCGATACCAAATCTATTCTCGCCAACACCGAAATTGCGCTCAAACAGAGCGAAAAGGAAGTCGTCGCCCACCTCGAATTCCGCGATGGACTCGGTAGGGAGCTGTCCCAAGCGCGCCGCGAACGCGACCGTGCAGAAGGCGTAATGGTGTACCTCACCCACGCGCTCGAGGAGTCCAAATGCAAGAATGCCTCCAAGGAAGATGAGTGCTATGAACTACAGAGCCAGATTCAGTTCAAAGCCAAAGAGCTCCAGTCCATGACACTTTCTCTGCACAACACCATGAAGGAGTTGGAGCGTGCAAACAAGTTTAGCCAGGAGGCGCAAGATAAGATTGACGAACAACACGCGACGATCATGTCGAACGAAGAAAGCGCCAAACGTGTATCTACACAGATCGAGAAGCTGACCAGGGACTGCAATGCCTTGAAATCCCAAATTCGAAGCTTGCATCTAGGATGGATATCGAGGTGTGACGAATCCTGGCGCGTGAAGAAAGCTCTCGAAGAAGAGAACAGACAGTTACGCATCGCGAACGAATCTTGGGCCAAGAACAACGCCGGCACTATTCGTGCCATGCAATCTCGCGTCGACGAATTAGAGGGCGAGCTTGCAGAATGCAGGGCGGAGAATGGGTGCCTTGCCGTAGATCTCGAGATTATGGTTGAGCGCGTCGCACACTACATGGAGGAGATCGAGGCCTTAGACCGAGAGGCTGAAGAACGCGAGTGGAACGTCATCCAGGGCGATATGACTGAGGTGGCTAGTGAAATGAGCGAGAGCATCACAGATGAAGAGGAGGAGGAGTACGAACCAGAAGGATATCACCTGTGGGCTCATGACGGAGATAGCGATGACGACGCCACGGTATACGAACTCGAAGAAGATAGCGAGGAAGAAATGCTAGAGTGGTTCATCCACGCGCCTACGGACCCTAGCGGCATGCCTTACAAGCAGATGTGGGAGATGACCAACGTTGAGACCGAGGAACTTAAAGAGTGGGATGAGGACAACTGGGCTGTGGCCAACGGTCAGGAGGAGAACGAGGTCCTCGAGTGCCTAGAGGGCTTCGAAGAACAGCACACGGATGACGACACTCTATCTCAGAGCGACAATGAGAGTCTGGACCCATGGGACTCGGGTGACGAACACTGGAGTGGGAGTGCTATCAAGAACAACACTCCATGGAACTCGTATATGGATACTCTGGATGAAGATGAGGAGGATTGGGGTATGGTACACACATGGGATTGCGAGCCCAGTACGGTGGAGTGTGAGTGGTGATGATGTCCGAGCTCTTCATGTGGCAAGGCCGTATGTGGTGTCCTCAACCTTCGGTTAGAGAACCGCTTCCAGTATCTATAAAATGGGGCTTGGTATGAGACGCTGGCATTGGTCGTGTTAGATTGCGATGCTCAAATATATTCGTTGGCCCCTCCACGTATTCTTCTGCAGATAGCCCGTGTACACGTCGCCATCATTCCAGTACTTGTGTACAGTGCAAACGTGGTCTATATAACCTAGCTACCACCACTACGTGATATCAGCACAGCAATTCGCAAATATGCACTTCATGTACACTCTCTTTACAGTATCGCTGGCGCTCAGCACAAGCGCACACCCCTTTATCACGGCCAGAAGCCTACCTCCGGAATCTGCATGGATGACCATATTGCTGCCTCCCAGCGCGACTACACCAGTCGTACCGCCGGCTGCTCCTTCCTCGAAACCGGTGGGTCAGCCGCTCCCTCCTCCTGCGCCAACAAGCCATATATCTCCAACCTTACCTTCATTTGTGCTTGCCTCCACATTCACACCATTAAGTAACATTGCGACACCGGGAGTCCCAGTGGCGACCACACATACCATCCCAGCGGCAACTACCAGCTCAGTCGTATCTGTTGTCCCCACGCCTTCCTCATCCCCCGACTCCCCAGCAAACCCTTCGCCTTCACGTGATTCTGGAGTTGGGCCAATGCTCCACGCTCAGATCTGCTCAACGGACGATAAGTGCGAAAATATCGCATTGCTTCCCTATGAATGCCGGCTGCTCACTACAACTCTGTAAGTCACAACTACCCGCGGACAGCGACTCCCAGCTGCTTTGGGAAACTCCTGACATATACAGTGGTGCAACCGTACGTAAGGTGACTGTTCAGTGGCCAGCAGTATGCCTCTTTACCATGTAAGTTTCGTTTGCCTAGTAGACAAGACATATATTGATAGGCTCAGAATGTCGCAGTGCACTACGTATAAGTTTCTGGAGAATCCTGCATTATCCGTTGCGAGGGAAGTGGCGGGCGGTAGTGTTCCGGGCAGAAGCGTTGTAGTAGACGACATCCAGAAGGGTATGGCGGGGAAGGTGCTGGATATGATCTGTAAGCTCTGAGTTCAAGTAGCGAGCCAGTGAAGGGGCTTTGAGTTTGTGGGGTTTGAAAACTAAAGTAATCGGTATTCATCGTATCTCACTCAACGAGTATTATTGCAATTGCTAGTGGGGCAAGCGTGCGTTTGCTCGTTTAAGCGGTCTCACCTTCACCTTCACGCAAGTGCGCTAGCGTACTTTTCTATCAATCACCGAGATCAGGCCTGCCCAAGTCTAATCTCCTCCCTCTTTACTTTCTGAACAAGCAGCGCCATACTCATCGCGTGGCTCCCCTGCGGCACGAAGCAAGTATGGCTTCCATCGACACGAACTTTGCGACACAGACAAAACCAGAGAAACCCAGGAAGGCGCCACTTGTCAGGTAGACTTCTCTACAGCCCTGATCTGTGGGAGAAATTTGAACTGACAGTACGCAGTATAGCTGCAAAAGAAGGATTCGTCGTTCTCGAAATCGGCCCACAGAAACAGCACTATCACGTGCACAGAGCTTTGCTCACACACCACTCGGAATACTTTCGCAACGCCTTCAACGGCTCATGGAAAGAGTCAGACGACAAGCTAGTGACTTTGAGCGATGTCGATACTGTGGCTGTAGACATCTTCGTTCACTGGTTATATAACCAAGAAATGCCCAACGAAGACCAGTGCGATTCTCTACATGGACAAAACATGACGTCAGACGAATGCGTCGATGACGACACTCTCATTACCGGATATACCAAGGCACTCGTCTTTGGCGATAGGTTTCTGGCGCCTATCTTCAGACAAGCCGCCCACGATTGCATCGTCGACACTTTAATTAATGTAGAAGATCCGCCATGTTCTCGCCCACCTCCTTTCTTCACGGCTACGCAGTACGCTATCGACAATTTGCCATCGGACCATAGCATACTGGATCTGTTCATCAATGTCCACTGCCGTCACTGGGATGTGAGCAGGTATGGCAGAGTGGATGAGAAGTCTGGGATTGCTAATATGCTCAAACAAAACCTATCGCCTGTTATGCTGATTCGCATAGTTGCGCACTATTCTTCAATGGCCATAAACCTGGAATGCGGATGGTGGAACGAGGAATTGGAGCGCTGCGATTATCACGATCACTTGAACGACAAAGAGCGGGAGGGTTGTGAAAGAAAGTGACGCAAGGCTAGTCCAACTGGTCAAGAGATCCGGTGCTGATGTCTCAGGTTCAGCTCAACTGAAGCATGAGAACCAGATGAACTTCAAGCATCATGTCAGAGGAGAAGGAATGGAGAGTGCAATTCAAAACTAAGGCCTTCATGTATGCGAAGGACGAAATGCCGGGATTCGAAGGTGGCTACTAGCATTCAGACCTCAGGTATTACAGCTCGCAATCCCAGAAACAGTTGCACTGAGGACTCTCAAATTTGTTCAGCTCCATCTTATTGTAGGTCATAATCCTACATCATTTCCTTGAACATACCCACCCAAAACCCCTGCCCCGCCTCGCTGGGCCCACCAGTTCGCATCTCTTTACAGTCTTTGTGCCCACAAGTGGTACGAAGAGATCCAATTCCACCATTTCCGCATCTCTGGACCTTAAGGAGGTACCGATCGACAGCCTCATCAGGCGTTTGATCGAGCGGGCAATGAGGCGTACGCTTCGCGACCTCCCACACTTGTTCGAGCGAGTACTTCAACATGCCGAACCGTTGATCATAACCGCGGTATTCTTGAATGTCTTTCACACCGAAGCGATTCAATTGGTGGCGTTGCATATGGAAGAGACCGATGATGTCGAATCCACAGATCCAGATGGTTTTTCCACTAGCGGTTTTGAAGCGCTCGGGCGACGGAACTGAGACAACCAACTTCTTCAACAATGAAGGCGCATTCTTTCCCGTGGCGTAGGGAGGAACTTCGTCCGATGGAGGAATCGTGGCGCGATACCCAGCTTGATTGTTCCACTGAATTAAGCCCCTTCGCACGATGTGGTCGTCATCAACGCCCTTGCAGGCTTTCTCGGCGGTCAGCATCCATCGTAAGTAGTTGACGCAATTGTCGTCGCTTTTATCGCTATCCAGCTGCTGTAATGTGCGCCCGGCATACCTCCCGGTTCTCAATACGTAGCGCCAATAAGGATCGGCTTTGATCAACTGGCCTATCTCGGAGTCTTCATCATCGATGTATTCCTGTGATGGGTCGTATGTCGCTGAATAGCGGGTAGACTGTCCTGGCTGCCTGTAGATTGTCTTCGCTGTTCGCTGGGGTGGCATAGTTGACTGTTATTGCTTGACAGCAAACGGGAATGGGTGATATAATGCGAGGAGCGATCGTACTTATGTGAAGGAAAGCCAAAGAAGGAACAAAGGGTGAGACTTCAAATTTGTGTCGATCAGTTATATTCGTAGACATATGTCAAAGAACATGGCGGTCATACTGAAACGCATGGCTCATTTAAGATAGCATTAGACCTGAGACATGTCTTTGATGCAGATCAATTGGATGTGGGATGGCAAGTACTATTCACGCAAGGAAAACGCTTATCGAACGCGCTGCTATCTACGTTAGTTTGCATATTAAGGTTGATGAGATATCAGGTTGAAGAGGCAGGCGTGCATCAAGGCAGTCTTTTATCATACCCAATATTTAGAAAGCAACATCATCCCAAACCCGCAAGCAGATCGTTTCGTCCTCTAGGCTTCGCAATCCCATCGCAAAAGGAAGGAAACAAGATTCTCTCTATAGCCAAGATCGACGAAAGAGAGCCGCGTTAAGCGAGAGCGGAATTATATAACACGTATTCGCTGGATATGTTCTTGGTCCATCCATGACCGGTCTCGCTCAAAGGCAGCGACTCCTACTCGCTCGTAGACGTTACTGCCCTTTTCTGCGGCGGTAACAAGTAGGCCATAATGGGTCAACAGACGGCCTGATATATCCTGCATCCCCAGGATGACACATTTCAGTTCAATGAAGGGAATCCATTCAGATTCTCGGCCACGATCGAAGAATACACGATCATTGTACTGCTTGTAGAAGTCTCTGGCGTCGCCATGTAGGGCCCCGGGGGTATCACCGAACTCTCCACAGTTGTTGAAGGGCGATCCAAGGTCTGGCTTCCAGTCCACAGTGCCGAATGGAATATCCATGAAGCATATAGCGCCCGTCACTGCCATCCACGACCATGAGAGTACCCGTCTATTCTTTGAATAGTCGATCTTGGTCATGTCTCTGTTCAGATCCGCACGTCGCCAGAGAAGTGTGCGGCGTAAATAGCTGCGCTCCTTTGGATGATCAAGAATGCCGTGCTGTGCCTTTCCGAACAATTTCGCAAACTGTGATTCGATTCCGGCCATACCTAACGACCTATCTGTGTAATGGGTAAAGTCAAGTCGGGAGTACCTTTCGTATATCTCTTCGAAGAAAGCGATGCGCATTCCTTTGTATCGTTTCAACATAGCATCGGGGAATTGAGGGTCAGACAGGAAAGATGTCTTGTGGCTAGCGTGACGATGAGCTTCTTTCCCATTGTAGAAGGGTGTTGGTTCCACTTACTTGTATAGCGTTGTCAGCGTTTCGCACCTGATTCCTGTTCCACACTCCCAGTAGACTTGAACTTCTGTGAAATGAATGATACGCCGTGATAACGCGCGTTCTTGAAATACCCATCCTCTTCTACTCAACGCCGACTGCTCTACGTCGCGTTCGAAATCATCGATCGGTTCGCAGAGATAGATCATGTCTAAGCTACCCAGATGTTTGGCATAGGAGAGGGGGTAGTGAAGTCTTACTTTGCGATCCGCTTTCAAAAAGCCATCATCGCTCCCGTTTGCACAAGTCGCCGAAAGTGTAACGTAGGCACATCTGAAGACATCGTCCATCTTCCTAATCTCCGCTCGTAGATCCTCCTCATCGTCTTGAATGATACAAAGCGCGTCTACCCATAAATAACGAATTCCGAGACTTCTTGTAATCTTTACGGCGTCTTGAAAGGTCCGCGGTAGCATTTTGAGATCAAGATGACTTTGCCAATCTTCGAGCTTGCTACGACTTAGGAATTGGAAACTTCCATGTAATGACGGGGCGCCCCACCGGTGTGTTAAAGCCACATATTTGCCGTCTTTCCTCATATTATCGCAATCTAGATGCAATGTATCTGAATCCCAGCGACCTCGATCATCGTGATTTCCTCTTGGATACAACTCGACCAGTCTGTGAGGCATAGTTACTCTTGTCGGTTTGCATTCGTGACAGAGATCACACCATTTGATCCACTTCTTCAGCAATTTGACCTGGGTAGAACTTCCAGGGCCGGGTAGAACTGGCAAGCCTCTCTGGTAAGTATCCGGAAACCGATTGAGGCCTGTGTGCGGTATCAGTAGTGGTTCACAGCAGTGCAACCCACAACTTACCGGGACTTGGACCTACTACTAACGAGAGTAATGGAGGCTCTCCCCTTCCCAAGGTTAACGAAGACCCCTCCCTTAGCACCATTTTGTACCTGTTCTCTCCAGTCGTGTGGTTCATCGCCATGTAGATGACGGCGCACAGAGAACACATTGCACGAGATGCTTGTGCTCTTTCGTGTGATACTATGAACGATCCTCCTGAGAAGATGCCCGTTTCAGTGTGCAAACAATTCTGACATAGAGGACTCAAAATCGGGTACATGGGTGCGAGCCTTTTGAATTCGTCGCTGTCTAAGGTGCCGAAAAAGGTCTTTGCGAAAAGATTATCGAATTGTTTTGTCCATATATCCAATGCACCAGGTATCGCGTAGGGATTTTTCGTGTTGGCTATCCCGCCGTTTTGTCGTCGCTGGTAATACAGACGTACCAGATCGCGCGATTTCTGCTGATGACTTGACATCAGAAAGTTGCTCATCGATTGCCGGGGGGACCATTCACCTCTAGGCGAAAGTTAGATGTCGACAAAGGCATCAGTAACTTGCTTGGCATCGCTGGTCCTCGCCCGTTCGGTCCGCTCATGTTGACCATCGGGTTGTACATGTAGTAGGGAATGCCGTGAGTTGTCGAGCTGATCCTTTCAATTTCCCTGCATGCATCTTTGCCCTTTGCTCTCCCTGATATAGGAGAATTGTGTCTGACATCTGGTGCAGGCGTGATGTAAATAGGTACTTCCTCGTTGTCAGCGGATGGGTGGTAGCTGTCGCTTGTGTCTTGCTCTGTCGAATCTGGCACCAGTAGCCTGTCTCTAACGAAGATCAAAAGCTTTCGTAGGGCAGCACTGTAGCATTGGTCCCCGTCTGATAGACATGTGTCGGTCATGTGTTTCATCCACGATGCCACTACTGGATTAGTGGTACGACTTTCGCTGTCGCGCAACCAGAAAGCGTCGAATTCCTCGGGAAATGCTTGCTGGCAGAATTCGTCAAGTTCGTGAATGCCGTAGACTAACCAGATTATCCACTCCAGGATGATACAGCCCATGCCCTACATGTCGTAGGACCTGGAGATCTTTCGGCCCACCTCCGGAGGCCTATATCGGAGTGTTCCACCTGGCGATGCTGAAGGCTTATTTCTTGCATGCGTTGGCAACGAGTGTATCTTGGCCAGACCCAGATCTGCGATTTGAAATATTCCACGGTGCGAACCAGAAGATCGAAGAATATTCTCTGGTTTGAGATCTCCATGTCGACCGTTTAATGCAAGCCTAGACGGATTGTTGTGCCACTGATCGAGTGCTGCAACAAGTCCTTGTATCTGTTCAATAGTCCAGCTTATGAGGTCTGCATCTCGAGACCAATTCTCCTCGTTGTTCCAGTACGACCGCAAGTTGCCTCCGTCCGCCCACTGGAATAACAAGTGGCTCGTGAAGTTCTGCCTAAAGCCGCCGACGAATCTCACGATATGTGGATGCTTCAATTGCCTCGCCAGGTCTAGCGCATCGAGTTCACTCTGATCGGCACCGGCTTCCTTGTTTCGCAGTTCCTTGATGGCAATCACGAGATTGTCCTATTGCTGTCAGCAAATCGTTAATATGCCAAGACAAATATACTGACCGAACTGACTGTTTGATGAGCACGGTGTATGGTAGCCTTGTGTAACAAGCTGAAACTGCCCCCTTCACCTTGAGATTCGCATGCGATAAAGGGCAATCGGCAGTCTCGGTGTAAGTTCTCCATCGTGCTATCGTTCCTGAAGATTTGGGGTAGAAACACCCATTGCTCTTTACAGAAGAAATGTTTCTCCTGTGTCCTCCATTTGTTAAACCACTTCCACGCGGAAGAATCTCGCGCAAAGCCGTTGAGAGAGATGAGACGTGGCCCTTCGAGAGCGATGGGAAGGTATCTGTCGCCGAATTCGAATCTTTCTAGGTTGATAGCCCTGCGGACCGCGTCTCCATAGACTAAGGTAGCAAACGTTTTTCGCGCGTGTTTCGTAATGTACTTGACAAGTGACGAATCATATTCCCCGAAAGCAGCTTTGTCTAGCTCTTCTTTGATAGTATGTTCGGTGATTAGCGATTCGAAGTCGTTCTGAGGGAGGAAATCCTTCTGGGAGAACTCGCTGTACGTGAAACGGTCGACAATTGCATCGTACAGCCCACATTCCTGGTTTCGGCCCATGTCGTCATCGGAAAGCTGTTACAATACGGTATCAGTAGGCTTCGTCTTGTAACCGTAGATTTTCACCTGAGACAGGAAAACCAACGAAGTGGAATAAGTTCGTTCGTACATGCTAGAACTTACCGACATGCTGCTGGTGGGATGTTCCAATGACATCATCAGACGTGGTGCGACACAGCCTTGAGGCAGTGCGGAAGGCGTAGCAGAGATTGCGACGAAACAGCGCACAACGCGTGGAGACTTGTAGTACCGGTCAGTTATCGTAGTCGGTAACTGGCTTGTTCTCCTGACACAGGGCCATCAAAGCGATTTAAGTAGGTAGCACTATGCAGCCTCAAAGTCGGACAACAGAAGGTTGAACTGGACGTCAGCGGGGAACAAGTCCAATCGCAATGCGAGTGATGGCAGCCTCCACCATGTATGTTGACTCCCAAACCACCTACTGGTGAAATGCAGAGCATACCTATGGCGGCTTTGGAATGACATTCACCGGTAAGAAAGCATACTGACTGGCTTGAGTCGTTTGGGACGCTTAGCCCTGTATGTAAGTAAGATTGTGCCACCGCGACAGCACATCCATATCCTGACTTGTATCACGATCGACTTGAAACCTCAAGCCTATGCGCCTAGACGATTTGACGAGCGCGTATGCAAAGCCGTCTCGGAGTTTCAAAGTCTGACCGGTACAAGGGTGGCATGCACCTTGCAGCATCCTGTCTCTTTTAATTACCACTGATTACCGGCCAGATGAGAAGGCTGTGTATCGCTGATAGGCGCCGGACGACATCTAGTCTGACACTCGTAATTGCCGTATGCAGCCGGCCAACGATCGTCAACGCCCCCGTCCAGTGGAACGTGCATAGTGTTCGCACGATAGGAACGCATCATGGGGCAATGCAATGCATGTTTTCCGTCACGGTGCGAATGAGGACCACAGTAATCTCGTCGTGATTTGTCGGTGTTGAGCCTCAATTCAGCTCGATCAGTGCCCGACCGTCATCACCGCAGTTTCGACCACTTATGGAATGCCTCTCGTCAGAACGTGAGGCCCTGTGTTTTGTTGGATTCCACCAAGAAGAGGACCTGACGAGGATATAGTCATCGCGGTGTATATGCGAAGACGACGTCGTCTCGCAGGTTTTCCACATTGTATGTATTCCATTGTCATAGATCGACCGGGCTTGGCGATACGCAAACTCGAACGGAGAGTGGAGAGATAGTGAGGCTCAGATTATCTCCGTATCGATTCGTCTCGGACGCGCAGGCCTCTGTTCGCGGTGCTGGTATTGGTTGCGCAACCGGTTGATACAGGCGCTTTCAGTCATCACACCCTCGTCCGGATAATCAAAGATGCAGTCAACGGCCGCTGAGTCTTGACCGGAAACCTAAGTGGCGCGATACTGCAATGCAAAGACGGCACAGAGACAAGTTGCCGGAAGCTCTGGTTGCGGGTTGTTGGTGGTAGCTGAAGACGCGCGCGGGGTGCGTGCAACCAGCTCGGCCCGGGAGCTGTCGCCCCACAAATTCCGCGATCGGGGCACCGTAGGGCTACTCGTTCGACGCACGGCACGAGGAACGATGGGATGATACGATGAAAGCGCTCGCTCTGAAGAGAGCCTGATTACGTGCATTCGTTACGAGATTATTGGTATCAATGCTATGTGTACGGTACTGACAGTACGCCTCCGCCGTTTGCAGAGAGATTTCGAAAGAAAAAACAGCCATCGAATATGCATGTGCCCTCGGCATTCCATGCATACAGTAAGCGCATCGATACGTGCCTACTGCTTGTCATTTTGCGAGTAGATGAAGTTGGCAGCAACAGGCACGAGGCCATTGTGCTCAGCCCACTCTCGCACACCACCACCCTCCTTCCCAGTACCCCAATGCTGGCGATCCTCTGGCTTACTCACATGGAGCGGCTCGGTTGTTCCGTTCTTTGGCGCAAAGACGAGGAACACGTAGCGATGCTTGCCTGTCTTTGGTGGAGGGCCAGGGGGCTTGTACTCCATCACGTCTTCCGGACCGCCGTCTGTCGACTCAGTCTCTTCTGTAAGACCAAACTCTGGTAGGGGTAGGATCGAGAACGTGTTCGGCGCTGTGGTGACGTTTGCAGCAACCCAATGACACATCTCACTCCACTCAGGGTTTTCGCGTGATGGCGCGTCGGGGTCGGTGAGTGTGACGACGTAGCTCATGTCGGAGGTACTGTGCATTCCGTCTGGACTTGTGTCATCGTGCAGAATTATGGTGGGCTGTTCTCCAAGATAGTCTGGCTCGATGGTGTTGCCGAGTTTTGCCTTGGCATCTGGCCAAAGAACCGACAGTGTGAGACTAGGCAGGAAGTCATTAATGACGGTGGGAATTATTTCAGCGTGTTGGAGTCTGTGAAATTTTAGTACGATGCTTGTAGTTTTGATAAAATTCCTTACTTTGTTCGAACAGCCTGGACGTTCTTAGGGCCGTTGAGTATCAATGGCCTTTGCTCAGTTGGTAGCGCAACGGCGCAGAGCGGCAGCAGGCACGTCAGCCCATTCGAGACTTGGGAAAACATCGTGCTGGCGAAATAGCGGCTTGTCGATTCGGGGATGATCTTTCAGTGTCAAAATAGCTTCAAGCCTCGTCGTTGTCCGGGATGTGTGCACAAGAGCGTTGAGATGACCTCAGGAACGTTATCGCGTGAGGTAGGCCCTTATGGGGGGGAGTCTCCACCCAACCTCGTCGTGCGTCATTCGTACCTCAACTTATGCAGATCCACAAACGTTCGGGGAAGCTGCAACATGATTGGGTAACGTAGAGCTCGCAACCCTCGGATAGCGCGAGTCATACAGATGTCATATATTGATTGTATTTCTGCTAGGCTGGTGTAGCTCTACGGGTATTCGGATAGCACGCTCAAGAACAAAAAAAAAAGACAGGAAACCGCCAACGTAGAAGACATGTGTCGCTGAATCAGCAGCCCTCAAAATGTTCACAAATCTGTGCCTCGCAGAATGCACTGCTGTCCATCACAAAACCCATGTTCTGCGAGACTTGATACTCGGCAAGCTCCTGAGCTCCTCGGCCTGTCATGGTGCCTGTGCAGTCGCGAAGCAGAACACAGTCCCACCCGTAAGAGTAGGCATCTGACACGGTGCCAAAAACACATTGGTCTGTGTTGACACCGGCGAAGAGTAGTGTCTGTTTGCCGGATGCGCGAAGGTACTCGTGAAGAGGCTCCTTCTCAGACCAAAGTCCCGACATGCGCGTCTTGTCGAAGAATAAATCGCCAGGCTGAGCGACTGCCTTGAATGGATCATAGAGTTCGGCGTTCCAGGTCCGCTTGAACAGGCACCTTCCCTGACCATCGGGCAGCTGTGCGCCAAGTCCGACGTGCCATCCCAGAGTCTTGCTGAAGCCTCGCTGGATAGCAGGTGCCATCTTTTTCAAGTCATGGTCGCTGATTCCCCAGTTCAGCCAGGCAATTTGGATCCCCTCTTTACGGCATCTCTCGATGACTTTCAGAGTCGGCTCGATAGCGGCGATGCCTGCGGCGTGATCCCGATAGAGTGGGTGAACAAAGTAGTTTTGCATGTCGACAATAATCAAAACCGAGTTGCCAGGGTCGATCATGAAGCCGGTGTGGTTGCGATCTTCCTCATCGCACTCGAAGACCATTTTCTCCCGTGAGCCCCGAGACAGATCGAACTTCTTGGTTGCGGGTAGGTAGAGCCATTGTTCATCCCCTCCAAACGGGATAGGTGCAGTGCAAGTGATAGTCCCCACTGTAACGTCGTTCTGCTGTTCTTCGGTGGTAGTAAGAGTGAGAGACTCCGGGGCCATGGAGGCGTCGGAGATGATGCGAGCGAGGTGGGCGAAAGCTGAAAGCGGCAGAAACCCAGGATAGATTTAGGGCTGAAAGTTGGTGTGGAGGTGTGAGGATGATTAGGAAGGGGGAGAACAAACGAGAAGAAGGCACGCTACCTTTGTAGTCGGTGTGCGAACGCTCCTGCTGCGTTCCAAGGTTTGTTTGCGGTGAATATGATAACAGTGCTTATCACAATGATAGGCTTCCCTCGGGAGGAAGCTTGGTCGTAAGACAATGAATCAGTCATAGCAGTGTAGACCCTATCAGCTTATGCGGAGACGGACTTCCGCAGGGACTTGGAGGCTACATGAGCCTTTCCCAATTAGCGGTAGAGGACGTCGAAGCGACCTGACGATCACAGTGCATTCCCCAAGATGCGGAGATAGGAGCTGGAGATCTTCTTTGATAATTTGGTGTTGTCGCGTCTGGCCGCGTCTCGCAGCGAGATAAGGCTGGAGGGCTTGATAGATAGCCGTCGCCTAGTACAAGGGAAATCCCGGGGTCCGACAATACCCGAGCGCGAGCCAGCGTACGCCAGCGTGTCCATGGTACTTTCTCAGCGACCAGAGAGGTAATGCGATACTACGTGGCCGGACTAGGGGAGTGTAATCCACATATCCTCGAGAAATCCTAGGCGACTCGTGCGCCAGCTGTGTTGCAAAGCCAGCCAGTCTTATGTTGTCCATATCCAATGCTGACCACGGGTCGTGCATCACCAGGCTCTGCTGATGCTGCTCATGTGGTGGAAAAGTCTTGTCCTGTTACTCATTTGCTCGTGTGCACACTCTACATACGGTTTGCTGCAGCCTGTACACCATGTCCGGCCTTGGAGCCGAGCCGCATGCTGCCTCGCGTGTGGTGGCGTTCGCAGGGCTCGCGACCAGCAGAAGAGGAGGTTTCAGCAGCCGTGTGCTTGCTTTAACACCACGGGTGCACGTGGCCACATGGCTGAGGGTGTTGCCTCCTTTATGCGAAAGGAATGAACAATATGACCTAAGATTAAGGAGACATGTGAATGTTGAATGTGGGGTTGGCTGCCAGGTGGATTGCCATGCTGGCCGTCACGTGCACCATCATCAAACCTTGGAACTTTCAAGCGAAGTGACGACGGAGCTGCAGCAAAGGCACTCCATCACGAGCCTCTGACCCGACGAAGCCGCCATCAGCCACGATCACTTCGCCGATCCCGCATCTGCACCGTGCAACACTATCTCCACGCCGCAGGACGACATCGGGCTCACACACGACTCCGCGGTGTTGTTTGGCTGTTCTACCAACAACC